GCTATTTCCATGGGCTAAAATGGCAATGGCTTTTGCTTCCCAGCCCTGGGGAAGGCTGGGATGCTCTAGGGAACGGGGAGCATAAACAGATCCAGACAGGCCACAAGGGACTGTCTCACCATCAGATACCGTTAGCCAATGGAGTGTCCTTCCCCATCACTTGGACATCACAAAGTCACCAGAATTCTTATGCCTTTGAGCAAGGGTGTGCCATGCCGGTCGGTAGTGTGACTTATACTGGATCAAAGTCTCTCTCTGGAGGAAGCTGGGCCCGGGGACTTTGCTCACTGCCAGCGAACATTTCAGCCTTCCCTCTGAGACCGGGTTCTGTCTGCTGAGAGCCTGTGGAGGCTGAGATGGCCAGGTGGGGAGTGATGATTGATGATGGTGATGATGATGATGATAATGATGATGATGGTGATAGCAAAGATGAAAAAGAAGAGAAAATCATAAAGATGGCAACTATTACTATTGTTCTTTCTCCACTGAGCACTCACAATGTGTCAGACACAGCATTCAGGACTCTTCCCCATTCATTATCCCAGCTAATCCTTGCAGCAACTTTATGAGGTAGGTGCTGTCATCTCTACTTTATTTATGAGAGAAACTGAGGCTCCTGGAGTTGAAGCTCCATGTTCGAGGCTACCAGGCAAGCAGGAGGTGGAGTCAGATTGGATCCTAGTTATGGGCATCCATGCCCTTACACTGAGCCATGCTGTCTGAATGCAGCCACCCCGGTAACCTTGGCCCAATGGGTCAGTAAGGCTGGCTTGTTGAGAAAGGGACACTGGTGTAGGGCATACCCTTGTGTCAATGGGGTGAGTTTGAGAGATGGGACCCTTGAGGACTGAGGATTGTGAAAGGCAAGACTTTTTAGCAGAAGCTGCCTGTATAGAGAGGCCTCCTTCATCACCCTGCTCAGACCCCACTACACCCTTGGCATTCCACACTCCCTTGGTATTGCAAGACAAGGCAGTGACAACCACTCGATTTCAACTGAAATCACTTGTTTTTTCCCTCTTTCCCAACTGGGCTGTCCCCTGAGACCCAGGTGTTAATGAAATCAAACAAATGAAAATGGGTAAATTATTGCAAAGCTATGAACACCTCCGCAGGGCCACGCCTCACTAGTTTCCAATACCACCTCATTCCGGAGGCTGCCGGAGGAGCCGAAGCAATTTCGTCCCATGGGTGAGGTGGTGGAAGGAAGGGACAAAAGAGACAAGATATTGCAATCAGAAGGTCGCTGACCCAGGCTTTTGTATAATTATAGAATTTCATTTCGGGCCAACTGGATGGACGACTGAGCTTGTTGGCAAATTAGTGGTGAAAAATAAAGCAATTTTTAGCGTCCTCAAAAGAGTTGCCACTCCAGTGGAGTGTCAGCGCCCCAGAGTCGGGGAGGAAGGGATGGGTGGAGAAGAGGGGACTAGGTTGGAAGCAGCTAATCATTTAAACTCATGAGGCAGAGACGTTTTAGTTGGGGATCTGGGTGAATGTGCCCCTTGCTGCCCAAGGGGATGATCCCAACTACCTTTGGGGTGTGTCTTCAGGATAGAAGGTGCTGGGACAAGAATCTGGCCTGAACCGCACTCTTCCTAGAATGATTCTCCCAGAATCAGGTGCGGAGATTTTTCTTTTTTCTAAGTAGTGTCCAGACCAGTCTGATATATAACCCTGGCTTTGCCTTGACACGACCAAGGACAAGCCTCATAGTCTTTCTGAACCTCAGTTTTAATTAGTTTGTTAAAATGGAGAGCAGGAACATTCACCGCATGAGATTAGCCCAGTAGATCATAGATGAGAAAGTACTTTACACATTAAAATGAAATATGGTTTTGCTTGATATTATTCTTTCCAAGCTTTTATTATGAACATTGCTTTTCATTTTTAGGAAATAGATTTGGCTTCTTGCCCTTATCACCAATTACCTTTATTATTATTGTTGTTGTTGCTATATCTGCCCATGCATCCACTCTATAATTATTTTGTTGATACTTTTTTTAAGATTGTCTTACTTTTGCAATTTTCACTTAAATATCCCTTCTAGCTTTATGTTAAGACAAAATATACATGAACATACTGGCTTCTTTACTTTCATCTGCCTTTCTTCCTTCCTTCCTTCCTTCCTTCCTTCCTTCCTTCCTTCCTTCCTTCCTTCCTTCCTTCCTTCTTTCTTTCTTTCTGAGACAGAGTCTCTCTGTTGCTCAGACTGGAGTGTAATGGCATGGTCTTGGCTCACCGCAACCTCTGCCTCCTGGGTTCAAGGGATTCTCCTGCCTCAGCCTCCTGAGTAGCTGGGATTATAGGCATCCACCACCATGCCTGGCTAATTTTTTGTATTTTTAGTAGAGACAGGGTTTCACCATGTTGACCAGGCTGGTCTCGAACTCCTGACCTCAGGTGATCCACTCGCCTCAGCCTCCCAAAGTGCTGGGATTACAGGCGTAAGCCACTGCGCCCAGTTCACTGACTGGATTATTAATGACCCTATTTCAGATCAAAAGTTCCCAAGGATTGGAGAGAGGGACGAGACTTGCCTGAAAACATACAGTCAGGCAGTGGTAGAGCCAGGACTTGAACTCAGAATACTGTGACTCCCAAAGTGCTGTGTCCTCTCCATGAATGGACCAGACCATAGAGGCTGGGAAGTGGTGTCATTACTCTCTTCCTCTCCCCATAATTAACCAGTTGGGGAAGGTGAGATAAACCAAAGCTGAACTAGGTACCCACAAGGGTTTACATTAGCGTTAGCCCATTTGGGCTTTTCCACTGGCTGGTGAGCCAGGCCAGGTAAGCCTTGAGAAGTGATGTGGTTCTTGAGTTTTCAGGGGAAGTCAAGGGGAAATTGTGATGTCTTCGAATTTTAGGACAAGATGCAGGGAAATTGCAGCTGGGTTTATACAAAGCCTCTCCAGTGAGGCCATGTGTGGGCATCTAGGGATGGGGGTGGGGTGGGGCAGGAAGATCACCTGCTGTTAGCCCATTCATGATTTGATCACAGATAGGTACCTCTGGGAGGCTCCCAAATTAATTAGAGGCATAAGAGCATTCCCAGGAAGAGACCTGAAGAGCACCCCTGCTCTCTAGAAACTGGGAGTACAAGGAAATCATGGGACGGTTAGAGAATAGTATGAGATGGCATGTGAGAGAGTAATAGAAGATGTTACAAGATCCTAGGAGCAGTTGGCATTGTGAGGAGGGAGAGACTGGGACGTTGGGGTAACCTGGGATGGCTCCCTGGAGGAGGTGAGACTTAATCAGGGATTTGGGAAGAGAGTATGTTAGCCAGAACGTTTAGCTACAAAGATTAGAAAGTGCATCTTGACCTGGTTAAAGGAAAGTTAAGAAAAAAAAAAACAGAAAAAAAAAAACTTTTGTTTTGTTTTGTTTGTGGCTTATATAAACAGAACGCTCAGGGTGAAGCCTATGAACCCAGGTGCTACAAAAGTGTGGTCCACACTGTGGCCGTGTGTTCATTTCTCAGCTCTGCCTCCCCTGGGTTGGGGTGGTTATTTAGCAGCTCTCTACATGGGGCTGTAAAGATGCCCCTGACAGCGCCAGTTTTCAAGGCCCTTGTATCCTGTGTCTCAAAGTGTACCTGCAGGATTTTAATATACAGAGGTGGCCATGGGATGACACAAAGGGGTCAATGACATTGAAATAAGACCTTTATTACTGAACAGCTCATGAGAGGAGGGACATACCACACCACACTAGGCCACAGAGAGAAGCATCAGCTTTGGTCAGGAGGCAGAGGGAGTGAGGGGAAAGCCTCTGCCTGAGCCTTGATTAGGGTTTCCTCAGGCAAGGCAAGGCATTGGCTATGGGTGTGTGGGGTAGTTAGTTTGGAATTAGCTATTCTGAATAATTCTGGCAGGCTTTAGGGCATAGGGACTTGTGCCTAATGGTCTGGTACTTGAGCTTGGGTTGATGTGGGGCAGGGCAAATATTGCCTTGCGGAGTGAGAGTTGAATAAAGGAGGTGTTTGGGGGTATGAACTCAGGGTTGGTTGGTTTGCATATGAAAGGTGTGTAGTCAGGTTGAGTTGTTTATTATCTCTAGGAATCAGCTAGTCCTGGGAGAGGCAGTTTCTCCCCAGTTAGAGAGACCACAAATGTCAGAGCATCAATACTACAGAAAAGAAGGAAATATTGTTAATACAATTGACCCAGTGAGTAGATGCCCAGTAGATGAATACAGACTCTAAGAAAACACAGGACATCCTGCAAGCATCTTTTTCTTCCTAGCTTTGATGGGATGGAGCCCTGTGATTGGTAATGCCTGAGAGATGCGCCTACCCCAGGAAGGCCAGGCCCACCCCGTTGGGAACACAGGAACACATTACTGCAATGGTTGGAGGGATGATGATGATGCTTGGCTGAAAACCCTGTGTTTAGGGGAGAGAAAGGATTCTGCTGTGGTGGGCTGAGGGCAGGGGCATTTCAGACGTAGGAGGGAGAAGCAGGACAGAGATGTTAGCCATTTATGAAACAGTCTTCACACACTACTGCCTTCAAACTGTCTTGTCTGCTCCTCCCTTGTCAATATCTCAGATGGATGGGTTAGCTTTCCTGTTAACTTCTGCAATTGACTCATTTTCAGGTATTAAAATGTCCTGCCCAGTTTCTATCAAATCCAGTCTTGCAGGCTATTCCAGTCTTCCTCCCTCCTCTTGTCTCAGCCTGACCTGAGCTGGAATCCTGGAGGAGGGGAGGTTGGGGAACTGGGACTGTCTAGCATGTTCCTCCCTCCTTGCCCTCTTATCTGCTGCTGTGGGTGTTCTGTCCCCTGTGTGTGAGCCCTGAGTTGAGAGGACAGATGTCATCCTGGATGGGCCGTTACAAGGCATCAATTCTATCAGGGAGTGGCACCTTCTCTTGGCTTTCATGGGGCATCATGGTTTTCTCAGGAAGGATCTCTGTGTGACACTATTTCTGGGTGTGGGTTGCCTGTTCTCTGGCTGACCTCATGGGACCTTCCTCTTGCTCTCCTTTCTTGCAGGAAACCCTACAACTAACAGACAAGATGCCTTCAAGACATCTTGAGCCTAGCTACTTCCCGTGGCCTGTATTTGGTCCACAGGAAACTCGTGCAGTCTTGCTACAGCAAATTGAGGTGGTATAGGGTACCTGCTGCTGCCTCTCTCCTCACTTTTCCACAGAGGGCTGCCCCAGCGTGACCCCCACTTCCAGAGTTTCTCCAGGTAAGGAGCGGGTGTGAATCTCTGTACATATATGCTGTAGCAGGCATGCACTTCTCCTTGCTGTCATATTCCATGGGGTGAAAGTCGTGGTTAGCACCTGTGACTTTCTTCCTGTGGGCTCTGCTCAATGTACCAGGGGAGCTGACATGCCTGGGAATAGGAGTTGGTGGACAAATACCCCAGCTTCCTTGCCTTTATTTGGGTCACGGTGTGTGCATGATAGTCATCAATGGGTTTGAGCTCCAGTTGCCCACAGTGGTCCCTGCTCATTAATGCACACTGTACTGGCTTCCTTTCCATCCCTCTCTCATTTTCCTACTTCCCTCTCAGTACTTCCTGGAATATTTATCAAACTGCTGTGCTTGAGTCTTTAGCACGGGGTCTGATTCCAGGGGGAACCCAGCCTAAGACATGTGTCCTTAAGCTCCTAAGTATACACTCCCAGGACGGTTCTTATCTCATCTCATCCTATCCCAGTTGAGGGTGGAATGGGGCTCCCAGACTCCACAGCTCAGCAAGCCACCAGCCATGGGTGTCAGGCTGGTCCCTGAAGCCAATCTCTTGAGCAACGTCCCATACTTGGTGGCTGCTGTGCCTTCCATGCCTTGTCCCTTTCTGTCCCTCTTCCTGAGTCACAGTGCTCTCTGCCCAGGATGACAACTCTCAAAGCTAACTATCTACTTCCCCATATTTCTCTCAAACGTTTACTCTTCTCCTTATATAGATTGGAGTGGGTGATGGGGATACTGTTACGTCTTAGTGGGTGACCTGTTAGGATACCTCTTAAGAAGTCTGAGGGGGTGTGTCCTCCAGCTCCTCTATAGAATATAGGGCACTTATCACTTATCTTGTGACAAACTTAGATCAGGGACTTAGAGAGAAAAGTCCCACTCACCAGCTTGTTTCAAAATATAGTTGATGCACATACCCCTACCTAGAGACCCCACAATTCTACTCCTTCATATGCACCCAACAGAAATGTGCTCCTATGTTCACCAACAGACACATACAAGAGTGCTTATAGCAGTGCTATTGGTGATATCACAAAACTGGAAAAAAAACCAATGCCCATAAACAGTAAAAAAGATTATTATATTGTGATATAATCATATGGTGGGTTACTACTCAGCAATGAGAATGCATGAACTACAACCTCATGTGAAAACATGGATGAAACTCACAAACATGGTTGAGGCAAAGAAGCCAGACACAAAGGCATACATACTGCATGATTCCACTTGTAAAGAGTTCACAGTCAAACAAAATTTACCTGTGATGCAAAAGTCAGGCTCATGCTTATCTTTAGAAGGGAGGCATTGACTGGAAGGTACCACAAGGTGAGCTTCTGGAGCGCTGACCATGTTTCATTTCTTGACCTGGGTGATGGATGTCTGGGTGTGTTTACTTCATGCAAATTAATCCATCAATACACTCAGGATTTGTGCACCTTTATTAGGTATGGCATGCTTCAATTTCTATATTAATATATGAATACCAGGCCAGTATAAACCTACTGTGAGCATGCTAACCTGACAAGAGGAGAAAGAGGTCTTCTGAGGGAGTTGCATGAATGAGCAAGTATGTACTGTCAGGAGGCAAGAGAGTACCTCTGGGATAGGATTTCTGGAGTGTTTGATGAAAAGATCCAGAACATAACTGAACAAATAAGAATTCATTGAATTGACATCACTTTCTTGGAACTAAGATTTAATAGCCTTGCAAAGGCCTGAGGAAATGGGACAAACTCACTGCTAAAGAAGCTTCTAGAAGCCTAGAGAAGGCAATGGCCCATACTGAGATGAAGTAGAAATAGCTGAGTTTCTCCGGCAGAAGGAAAAAACCTGAGGGAAAGGGACATGCAGTATATGAGGCCAGAAGGCCCATAGAGGATATGTTCCATTAGAGGACCAAGAGGACACACCATTCACCAGTAACATCAGGAGTGCACTGGTGAGAAGCACACCAGCCTCCCAAGTAACTCATTGTTGGCTCTCCTCTGCAGATTAAGGCTGCTGATAGGAGAGGCAGATGCAGAACTGGACCATTAGGAAGATAATGACTTCCTAATATAGCAGAAGCCAGAGGACTGCAATTATCACAAAGACTGGAAAGGTCAGAAGGGCTGCGATGGTGGCTTGAACTGAGAGCATGGATAACGAGCCTGGTGTCTTTGGAGGCAAAATATTCAGGCAGCCAATAAGACTGCTGCCTAACATTTACAAACAGAAGGCAAATATGGAGGAACAGAGGTGGAGAACTTCTGTTTTCAGCTAAGATGGAGTAGCAAGTTTCAGATTTGCTCTTGTTCCTGAAACAACCAAAAATACACAAAATATGTGAAACATTAGTTTTCAAGACAGGAAAATTTAGGCAATGAAGAGGAATAACCTTTCAGAAATGGGAATCAAATGAAGGGAGCCCTATGAGTGCCCCATCTTATTACCGTGAGAGATTTTCTAGATTATGGCCTAGAAAGGGGAAACTCAGGTAGACTCTCGTGTTCAGAAGGCAGAGTTAAAAGTTGGGAGAGAAAAAGGTAGTTAGAGTTTGTAGGATGGTACACTGGAGAAGAGAATGCTGCACAGATGGATAACTCTAGAGGTCTACAGAAGGATTCCTTCAAGTATTCAGAAAAGAACTGATAAATACCTATGTGTGAGGAAACTGACCAGGGCTAGGGATAGAACCCTCCAAAAGGATTATAAGGAATAGCACTCCATACTCACTGAGGGCTGGAAATAGTGCTTGTTTCCATTAGCCATAAGGGAAAATCTAAAAATTCATGAGGCATTGGGTAGAATACACAGAAAGGTCTTGACTCAGTAGTGTAGAATAATTCACTGTAGATTGGACATTGTTCTGGTTCTGCCTAATGAATCTTAAAAGCAAGACCCAGAAGGATCAAACTGTTTCTGCATAACTGAACTGTATCCAAAACAAAGCTCAAGAATACTTTTAAGAATTAAAAAATCCAGCAAACAGCAAAGTAAAATCCATAATACTTCACATTCAATAAAAAATACTAGGCATGAAAAAAGCATTAAAATATCTCCCATAATAAGGAGAAAAATCAGGCAAATAAAATTGACCAAAACTGACACAGAAGTTAGAATTAGTAGACATTAGTTAATATTTAGTAGTCAGTATTGTATATATTTTAAAAGTTAAGTAGTGATATGCAATAGAAAAAAATGATCCAAATTGAACTTCTAGGTCTCATAGTACAATATGTGAGATAAAAAATACATTGCATGAGGTAAATGCTATATTAGATACTGCAGAAGAAAAGATTAGTGACTTGAAGACAGCAGTAGAATCTACCTGAGCTGAAACACACAGAAGAAAGACAACAAGAACAAAAACAAACAGAGCATCAGTGAACTGCGGGACAACTTTATTTGACGTGTTATATGTAGAGTACTCAAAGGAGAGAAGAGAGAAGCATGGATAAAAATTTTAAAAAGTAATGGCTAAAATATTTCCCAAATTTGATAAAAACTATAAACTTACAGATTCAAGAAATTCCACCAAATTGAAGAGCAAGAAACATGAAGAAATCCGTAACAAGGCAGATTGTAATCAAACTACTCAAAACTGGCTATAAAAAGAAAATCTTTAAAGCAGCCAGAGGGGAGAAAACAAGAGTCATGGTATACACAGATAAAGATAATGGTGACAAAGATTTCTTGTTGGAAACAATGCAAGTGGGAAGACAGTGGAGCAATAATTTTTAAAAAACAAACAAAAAAAACATGTCAACTTAGAATTCTATACCCAGAAAAAATATCTTTAAAAGCAAGGAGAAGTGGCCTGAGTTGAGAATATATAAAGATTCCTGGACAGAGGCCAATAGCCTGGCTGACTGATCAGAGTCCTGGAAGGAAAAGGATGAAAGGATTGGAGACAAGGAGGTCTGAGGTTGAGACATGTGGATGGACATATGGATGTTGGTGTGAATTCTGAAGATTTTTTTTTATCACATATTAACTCTGACCAGAAACTATCCACCACAGAAGAGGCACTGAATAAGAAGACAAAATGACTCAGCCAGTTGATTTTAACCACCCTTCATCATTGGCCACCCCAGAACTGGCAGAATGGACAAATGAATAGAATGGTCATGATTGTAGAGACAAAGGTTAGTATGGGTCTAATTATGAATTTCCAGAAAGGAAAGACAATTTAGCTACTGCTGCCACTGAATATCTAACTTGCCAGCACCATGGACCAATACTGAGCCTCTAGATCTGGCACTATTCCTCAAGGAGACCACTAAGCCACTTGGTAACAAGTTGACTACATTGGGCCCCTTCTAGTCTAGAAGGACCAGTGGTTCAACCTTATAGGATAGATACCTATTACAGGTATAGTTCTGCCTTTCTGCCTGCAGAGTCTCAGCTGGTACAACTATTCAGGGATTTGTAGAATTCCTGATTCACAGACATGGAATCTCACACAATGTAGCATCTGTCTAGGGAACCCATTTTATAGTGAAGGAGGTGTAAGGGTCTATGGGTTGTATCATGTACCATATCATCCAGAAAGAGCTGGCCTCATATAATGCTAGAATGGCCTTCCAAATGCACAAGTAAGTGCCAACTTGGAGGCAAGCCCATCAGATGCCATCTTTCAGAGTGCAATATATGCATTCTATCAGAAATCCCTGGATCCCAGGCAGGAAGAGTACATGGACTCAGGAACCAAGGAATGGAAGCATCCCTTAACATTATTCCCACTGACCTTGCAGGGAACTTTATGCTTTCCATCCTCCCAACCGTGGACTCTGCTGGGATTAAAGACTTTGGTTCCCAAAGAGGATATACTCTTGCCAGGGACACAGCAAGAGTACCACTGAATTACAAAACTACCACTGCCACCAGGGTGCTTTAAATACTTTGTATCTGGGGGCTAGCAGGTAAGAGAGGAGTCACCATCATGGCAGGGATAATTGATCCTATCATCAGGAAGGGATAGGGCTGCTAGTACACAATGGGGATGAAGAGGAATATGTGTGGAACTTGGTTTTCCCTTTCCCCATTGTAACTGTAAAGGAACACATGCAGAAAGCACAACATAAGAAATGCATGATGAGTCTGGTTGTGGCGGCTCACACCTATAATCCTGGCACTTTGAGAGGCCAAGGTGGGCTGATCACTTGAGCCCAGGAATTCAAGACCAGCCTGGGCAACATGGCAAAACCCTGTTTCTACAAAAAATACAAAAATTAGCCAGGCATGGTTCACCTGTAATCCCAGTTACTTGGAAGGCTGAGGTGGGAGGATGGCTTGAACCTGGGAGGCAGAGGTTGCAGTGAGCCAAGATCATGCCATTGCACTCCAGCCTGGACAAGAGAGCGAGACTCTGTGTCTCAAACGAACAGCAAACAAACAAAAAACAACAAAACAAAATGTATGATTACCAAGGACTCAGACTCCTCAGCAATGAAGGGTTGCATCACACCACCAGAGTCATCAAGACCTGGAGAAGGTGGGAGGAATTTAGGAAGGACAGTGGAAGAAGGAGAAGGTGAGTGCCATTTGTGGTCCTGAGATCAATGGGGTGATGGGGGTTGTAGCTCATCCTGCCACCTTCCGTCTTCTAAGTGTCCCCTCAGAAAGAGAGGCCCATGGGAATTAGGGAGGAATTGCTCCCCAAACATGCGTGGAGAAATGGACCTGTAAAAGCAAGGGGTGGACTGTGGAGGCCATAGAGATGCCCCATGCAGCTTTCCCCTCAAGAGGACCTGGTGTGGGGAGCACAGCTGAATGGCAGCCCCTAGCAGCCACACCTTAGGATCCACCATGACATTCATGTTAAGCCCACATTTCCCCCAGGTTGCTGTTAGTGACAGAGAACATTTGGGTTCTAGGGTTGGACCATTCCTGCCTGATGTGCATCTGCTTTGTTCAGGTACTACCCACTGAATCTGACCGAGCCTTTCCCAGAACTCCTCATGAACCTGACTGAGTCTTTCTCAGAGCTCCACTGTATCTGAGACTCTCCCTATTCAATCCCTCCTTCTCTCTCTCCTTTCCCAGGTGTCAGATATGCATTTCAACCTGAAGGCTCTCCCCGTCTTGTCTTGTTCCTTCACCTTTTATCCTTCATCGGCATTCTGCCTAACAATCTCTTGCACATCCACTCCTGTCTTGACATCTGCTTCTCAGAAGACCTAAATTGTTACACTTTCTCTACTCAACTCTCCTAAACACCTTTCGTTCTATGTTTCTTCACTGTGGGGTTCTATTTTCCCTTTCATGGATCTGATCCTAATTAGTGATTGTTTTATATTTCCGTGTGTGTGTGTGGTCCTGCTCCTTGGAAATGTGACTTTTGTGTGGACAGGATGCTTTGAAGGATACCTGCATTGTCTACTGCTGTGCCTATGGTACCTGGCACATGACAGGCATTCATAGTTCCCATGGGCCTCTCTTTCTGAGGGGACACTTAGAAGAAGGGAGGTGGCAGGATGAGCTACAACACCCATTGCCCCATTGACCTCAGGACCACCAATGGTACCCATCTTCTCCGTCTTGCACTGTCTTTCCTAAATTCCTCCCACCTTCTCCAGGTCTTGATGACTTGTTGGTGGTGTTATACCTGTTAAATGAATGTTCAATAAATGGTGGGAAAATTGAGGAAGCACACATTAAACATATAAGAATGCTTTGAAAAAAACCCAAATGCTCTACTTTCCAGAAGTGCCCACTCAATGATCTGGTATTATTTCCAGCCTCGATCACCAAGACTCTCTCTGTGGCTGTTTGGAGCATGGGCCCAGGTCCCAGCACAGGGAGGCACCAGCTGGGAGGATGCTGAAGCCTCCTGGCTGCATTTCCCCAGAAGCCAGTACACATGCATAAGGTTGAGGTGATGAGCCATCCTCTCGCTGGAGTGGGCACTTTAGGAACATTACCCCTTGAAAAGCATCTCCCTGGGATAAATGCTGAACAGGGTGTTTATCTTCAGAATGCGAAATGTATGAAGTGCTGTAATTAAACCAGCAGGGGTGGGGATGGAGCGCTAGCTCCAAACAGTTTCTTTGAAGATGAAAGTCATTAGATTTCAATGAAAATCTAGGATGCAGCATCCCACTGACACAAGAATATTTAACCTACATCCTAGAGCGGGGCAAGCAATTGATAGTATGATTGATAATAACTTGATTGCAGTAATTGTGAAGGGGAATTTGAAAATGGTTAGATTAGCAGGAAGCAGGCAATGAGTCGATAGTATCTTTGTGGAGCCAAATTTTCCTAGAATGTTGAATGTTGAAGTTTCTCCATGGTTTTTTTTTTTTTTTTTCCAGCCAGGAGAATCCTGAAATCTCTGCAAATAAGCAGTCCAGGAGCCAGAGAATTGTGGGATCTCATATAAACAAATCATCCAGGAAAAACACAGCCAGTCTCCTTTTGGTAAACCTCCATGACTGGGGATCCCCTGCCACCTGGAAAGCAGTTCTGCCTGCCATGCATGTCATCACTGATTTTTACTGCTGCAGCAGACTCTGTCATACCTGCCTGCTTCTTCAGTGAATTGTTCAGTGCACACCACCAGCTACCTGCTGTAAGCATTCGCACTTCTCTACCTGCCTGGCAGCCTTTCTCAGCTGAACACAGGCCAGGCCAGAAGTGCCAGGGAGTTAATGTCCTTGGAAGCAGCTCTCTACCAATGACAAATGGAGCTGGTGGATAAATTCTCAGCTTCCTCCCTTCTCAGGTGGAACAGCCCTGAGATGTGCTCTATGCAATCTCCCACAAGTCCCCAGCAGGCTCAAGCTCCCATTGTCCAACCCTGGTAACCTGCTCATCGACACCCCTGTCTTGCCTTCCCTTCCTGGCCTCACTTCCTCACTCTCTTACTGTTGCCTCCTGAGATCGCATCCAAAGTAAATGACCTGCACCCAGATCTGTGTCTCACAGTCTGCCTCTAGGGGAACTCAAAGTAAGATAACTGTGGAGTGTTTCCAAGGGTAAGACGCAAACCATGGACAAGTGGTTCAGTTGGGGCACTGGCCAGTCAGAAAGGGCTACCAACTGCAGTGCCAGGCCTTACCTCCTGACCTGCCGCATCGCCGTGGGAAGGTAGGGATTCGTGTGGAAGTTATCCCCTGACTTGCATCACTGCAGAGGGCGGGAAGTGCCAGAGACTGTGGTTAGGCACCGGGGGAGGCCCCCAGGGTCTCAGGGCAGTGGTAATGAACCAATAAGCACAGAATTATTTCAATATTTTATCTGATGGAGCTATGCCAATGATTACTGTTTATCAATTCTGAATATATTTGAAATTTGTAAGAATTATTTCAATCACTTCTGGGGTCAGGGAAGTAATGGAAGTGAATGAAGCAGGCTAAATGTAAGAAAAATCAAGCAGCTGACCTGGTTTGGTGGCTTATGCCTGTATACCAGCACTTTGGGAGGCCGAGGCAGGTGGATCACTTGAGGTCAGGAGTTCGAGACCTACCTAGCCAACATGGCGAAACACCGTCTCTACTAAAAACACAAAAATCAACTGGGCATGGTCGTGGGCACCTGTAATCCCAGCTACTCAGGAGGCTGAGGCAGGAGAATCGCTTTAACCCAGGAGGTGGAGGTTGCAGTGAACCAAGATTGTTCCATTGAACTCCAGCTGGGATGACAAAGAAAGACTCTGTCAAAAAAAAAGAAAAGAAAAGAAAAGAAAAGAAAGAAAGAACGAAAGAAAGGAAAAGAAAGAAAAGAGAAAGGAAAAGAAAGAAAAGAGAAAGAAAGAAAGGAAGAAAGGAGGGAGGAAGGAAGGGAGGGAGGAAGAAAACAAGAAAGCAAGAAAGCAGAAAAGGAAAGAAAGAAAGATCATGCACTCACATGGACACAAGGATGTTTATTTTTCCATTTGATTGGCAGGGGTAGGGAGGAGTCTTTCTCTTCTATGGGAAACACAGCAGCCAGCACAAGCTCGCTGGCACATGTCAGCGATGGCAGGGTGTTGGGAGACAACAGGGTGGAGACAGGAGTGTCCTGGCCTTTCTTAAAGGGGCTACCATGTCTCACTCCAATCAGTCGTTACCTTGTGGGATATGGGCCTGGTGGTGCCAGCTTTCTAAGATACTTAGAAATTTTGGATTCTTGGCCAGGCATGGTGGCTCATGCCTGTAATCCCAGCACTTTGGAAAGCTGAGGCGGGCGGATCACGAGGTCAGGAGATTGAGACCATCCTGGCTAACAAGGTGAAACCCTGTCTCTATTGAAAATACAAAAAATTAGCTGGGCATGGTGGCGGGTGCCTATAATTTCAGCTACTCGGGAGGCTGAGGCAGGAGAATCACTTGAACCTGGGAGGTGGAGGTCACAGTGAGCCGAGATCATGCCACTGCACTCCAGCCTGGGCAACAGAGCGAGACTCTGTCTCAAAATAATTAAGTAATTTTAAAAAAGAAAGTTTGGATTCTTATGTGACATTCTTCAGTTTCAAATAATTTAAAACCACGGTGTAAGCCAAATGAAATGTAAGTGTGTGCTGGTCCACTAAGCAGGCTGCCAGTTGGTGACCTCTGTCTTAAAGAGTGGATTTGAATTCAAAATTGCCTCCCATTAACTGGCGTCCCCCACTGGGTGGTGTTGCTGACCTTGCCTCTCTGTCTGCGCCCTCCTATCACTGAGCTTCCTCCTAAGTTGCCTGCCTCTGATCCCTTGCACTTTTGTATGTGGACACACTGAATGCAAAGGGCTGAAGCCCAGTTGGGACCTGCCTTCCTCAGTTATCTGTTCCTAACCAGATATACTTCAGGACTTCTCCGCACATGGAGGGAGTTTTTGTCCAGGAGGTCTGAGTAGAGACTTCCTGAAAATGATGCTGCTGAGGGAGGAGGGGCTGAAGATGGGTCTGGATTCATGGTTGAGGGAGCTATGCAGTTTAGCTTGGAGAAGACTGTGTGTGTGTGCATTATGTGTGTGCATTATATGTGTGCATGTGTCTGTATGCATGTGTGTGTGTGCCTGTGTATGTGGTGGTGGAGGCAGAAGAGTGGCAGAGGAAAGCAGGCAGATAGCTGAGAGTTACCTTCATATGTCTAAAAGGAGAAGAAGGTACCTTTCTTCCTACAACTCAGAACTAAGATTAAAAGTAGAAGACAGAAGGTCAAGCTTGCTGTTTTTCTTTTTTCCCCACTGCTCTAGTAAAAGCTTAGTTGAGAGTGACAGATTTGCAACTCAGGCTGACCTAAGCAGTAAAGGGAGATTACTGGTTTATGTTACTACAGGGGAAGATGGACTTCAGGGATGGCTGGATACGGGTGCTCAATTGTATTAGCATTTTCTCTCTCTCTTCCTCGGTCCCTTCATCTCTCTGCTCTAGTTTCCTCTGGACCAGCTCCATTTTCAGGCAGGTTCTCCCCTTTTGGTGATAAGACAGCTGCTAGTAGCTCTGGATACTTGTCATCACAACTTCCGTCGCTTCCCTAATGGCTCAAGAAGTCTCAGAAGTAAATCCACCCATAAATCAATCCCTAGAGCTAGGGGGAATGGAATGTGCCAATCAGGTGGACTTAGAGCGTGTGCCCATCCCTGGAGCTAGTGGAGGTGGGCTTAGCTCCACTAAACTACATGAATTGAGAATAGGGAGGGATGGTTTGGAAAGGAAAACCAGAATGCCTTTGCCAGAGGAAGAAGAAGAAGGCATGGCCAATAGTATGGCTGAAACCACCAAAATCTACTAGATGCATCATGAAAATCAAGTGACATTACAGAAACCCTGAAAGAGGAGAGACAAAAATATTCACCTCTAACCTTATCACTGGAACTCAGCTATATTTTAAATTGAATTTTGCTCCCCAACACCTTTACACTTTTAATGTATTTTAAATTTATGTGTAAACACAGTAAGACACATTTGCTATCTTGCTTGTTTTCCAACCCCGAATTTTTTTTTCCCAGGTCGCTAATGATTTCTCATTGACATCATTCTTTATTTATATAGAGGCACGGTCTTACTCTGTCACCCAGGCTAATGTGCGGTGGCACAATCACAGCTCACTGCAGTCTCAAATTCCAAGTGACCCTCCTGCCTCGGTCTCCCAAATACCTGGGAATACTGGCGTGTGCTACCACGCCCAGTTAATTTTTCTATTTTTTTGTATAGGTGGGGTCTTGTTATGTTGCCCAGGCTGGTCTCGAACTGAGCCTCAAGTAATCCTCCCATCTTGGTCTCCAAAAGGGCTGGAATTATAGGCATGAGCCACCACACCCAGCTGGCTTTTCCATTTTTGAATGGTTCTCATATAAATACCTACATAGTGTCCTTGATTTTGCCTCTTGACTTGAAAAACTGGAAAATATTTACTATCCGGATCTTTACAGAAAAAGTTTGCAGATCCCTGGCTGGGAAAAACACCAGATAAGAGATTCCTCTCATGAAATGGGCAATATGTTTATGATCACTAGGAAGAAATAAATATTCCTCTTTTTTAGGGAAGAAACAATGAAATAACCATCATTCTTAATGAATGAAGGTGGCAACCTCTCAGGCACTGGAGGGGTGCTCCTGGGTCTGCACAGCCTCTTGTCAGGGAGGCTATGGAGGGAGGAATCCTGTCATGGGTGGGTGGGTGGGAGGCTGGAACCCAGGCCTTCTGAGGATTTGGTGATGTGACTCCAAGTCTGTGATTTCCTTTCTCTGGTCACCATAGAGGGAGGGCTTGGGGGAATGGCTTTGGCCAAACGGGGCAGCTCCTGCTCCAGTCCTCATCCTCTCCTGGAGTTTGACTCCAAGGCCTGGAGGGGGCCAGGTGCTTGCAGGGCTCAGTGGCTGGGCAGCACTTTGAGGAACTGCTACCTGCTGACAGCATCTCAGTTGAGAGGCCTCCCAGATCTCGTGCTCCATCACTTCACAAAACAGAAACTCCGAGGCCTGTGGAAAGAGCTTGCTCTTTGGGAAAACTGAACACTCAGCTCAATGAGGAGCCACCATCAGGAACTTTGGAGACTTAGCCTAAACTCAGAGGTAGCTACTTTGACAGTTTGGTGATTTGAGAAATAATGTTACAAGCTTTGTAGATCAAGCATCTCACAATACCTTGCAATTTTTTTAGGAGAGGCAGATGGCTGCAATGAACCTCAAAATGTCAACCAGTCCAGGAATGATAAGTCATCTCATGTGCTAATTCTGATTAGGTGCACGGTGTTAAGAGGTATTCTGAGGCCGCATTCGGGTTCAGGGGAAATTAGATTGACTAGTAATGTCTGCCACGGTCTTGGGATGCTAAAGTGATGGTGTGCATGTCAAGAACTTAGTATTCTTGGTGTAGTTTAAACTGTGTTCCTTGCCCAGAGTCACTGCTCCTTTCTCTGCTCTATTATTTCTAGATTCTTCATCCACCTATCCCTTTAATGAAGCAGTTTTGCATACGTTTATGCACTAAGTGCCAGGACATAGTAAGGAATAAAACACATACCAGTTCTCAAACAACTCAAAGTTCCCATCAAGGCTTTTGAGAATCTGCACATTAAAGCTTCACTCCCTGGGCTGGACAAGGTGGTTCATTCCTATAACTCCAACAGTTTGGGAGGCTAAGGCGGGAGGATCGCTTCAGCCCAGGAGTTCAAGACCAGCCTGGGCAAGATAGTGAGATATGATCTCTACAAAAAATAAAACAATTAGCCAGGTGTGGTGGGGCATGCCTGTGCTCCCAGCTACTCAGGAGGTTGAGACAGCAAGACTGCTTGAGCCCAGGAGGTCAAGGCTGCAGTGAGCCATGATCACACATGCACTCCAGCCTGGGTGACAGAGCAAGACTTTATCTCATATATATATATATACCTCACACCAGGAAGCCAGCAGGGTGGAGGAGAATGCAGCCCTCAGGCAATGGAGATGAGGTCTCCAGAAACTCAGCAGCCTGGAGTGATAGTTTAGTGAACTTACTATTTGGAA